GGCCCCATGCCCTTCTCCTTTAAGCTCTTCTTAAGTGATTTCATACACAGTTATGATCTGTCAGTGCCTGCAGGTTGACTCTTCCCTTTTTACCTCTGACCTTCAGTTTCATATCTCAGCTGACTTCTGGATATCCATTTACGGGGTATCCATACGAATTCTTCAAAATTGATAAGTCCAAAAAAATCAATAGGTCCAAAGTTAAATAAATCATCATCTCTTACACCTCTTGCCCCCATAAACACCCCCCCCCCATGACCATATCTTCCTCCTTATTGCTAATCTCAATTAATAGAGTTACCATATAGTCAGTTCCCAAACCAGAAATTCAGCAATCATCTTCCCTAATCTTCCCCCACCATATTTAATCCTTCCCCAAACCCTGCTGATTGTATCTCCAAATGTGCTCAGCTCATCTCTAACCTCATTCAGGACTGCAGCATCTTTACCCAACTCACTGTGACACAAAGAAGTTAAACTCGTTGGTGCCAGGTCTGCCCCCTACCCATGACTGCCTCTCTACTCATTCTTTACCACACTCTTCCTCATAATTCATGATCTAGTAAGGCTACACTGTGGTTCCCCAAAACCATAAAGCCATTTCATGCCTCTGTGCCCTTCTTCATGCCAATCCCTTTACTGAGAGCACCCCTCCCACTGGTCTTCACTTGGCTACTTTTTACTGTAGTGTACTGAATGGTGATCCCCCAAAAGATATGGCCACCAGAACCTGTGCGGGTGACCTTATTTGGGGAAAGGGTCTTTGCACATGTAATTAAGGGTCCTGAGATGAGATCATTCTGGATTATCCAGGTGGGCCCTAAATCCAATGACAAGTGTCCCCATAAAAAGAGGAAGAGAGGCACAAAGCTATGTGAAGACAGAAGAAGACACTGGAGTCATGCTGCCACAAACCAAGAATCATGGGACCACCAAAAGCTGGAAGAGTCAAGGAAGGAAAATCTCCCAGAGAGTCTTCAGGTGGTGCATGGCTCTGCTGACACCTTGATTTTGGACTTCTAGCCTCCAAACGTTGAGAAAATACATTTGAAAATATGGAAAGCAACACCTTCATCTATCCTGCAATCTCCTTAAAAGTATTCTTTCTCAATGGTTATTTTTACACTTCCCCTAGTTCTTTTAATTCTTTTAAAAGTCCAAAAATAAATGATGAAATATGGCCATATGGGGCCCAGTGAGGGGTTACCTGTAGAATTAGCTCCAGCATTGATGCCAAAATAATCTTGGAAGCTCCTCTCCTAGTTTTCCTTCATTCAACAAAACTCCAGTGAGCAGTGTAAACGTGACCTAGTGGAATCATACTTTGCAGTTAACGAGATCCCCAGTTGATTTGTGTGCACTTCAAAGCTTGAGAAGCACTGCTTCTAGCTGAAGTTGGAGGCCACCATTTGGTATTTAACAGCTGATGGCTACCTGATGGGCCAATCCCAAGTAGGAATGGCCACCCCGGGATGATGGCAGGAAAGCAAAGGTGGGGACTTTCAGGTGGTGCTAAGTGGAATGAATTAACTGCCTACATTGAAAGGCTTCCCACAAACAAGGGAGGCTTTCTAGCACTGCTTTTCCCAATATTTTATAGAGTATTTGTGGTGCTTCCCTTAAGTACTGTCTCCCTCTATGTGCAATGATTTTTTTGTCTGCATATCTCTCCAGGAGTCTAAACACAGACTAATATTTATTGAGCATTGTCTGATTTCTAAGTAGTCTGACTTCCTAGCTTGCTTTGATTTTGATGCCAATGTTTGGATCCCTTGAAATGACTACAAGGTTGAGAGGCTTCTGTACTTAGAACCTTTTTCGGGATCACACACACTGGGAGAGCAGCTGGCTGCCAGTACTAGGTGATGCCACCTGTGAGAGGGGTTGTCCAAAGGCCCCTGTGCGTTGACTTAATTTTGCTCGATTTCAGAAATCACTGAATCTTTCTCTGGGAGAGTGAAGTTTTCTTGGGAATAAGAAAGAAAATATGAAATGAATGAATGTATCATACAACAGTAACACCTCACAAAGTACTATTATATTAGAGCTACTGCAAAAAAGACTTCCATTAAAAATAAAACCATTCATTGAGTAGGGAGGCCTTCTTATAGGTACTTAGCCTATATTTACTTATCTCATTCCATTGGCCACCTTGTGACCTAGGAGATACAGTAATTATAATATCTCCATTTTACAGAAGAGGAAACTGAGGCACAGGGAGATTCCGTGACCAGCCCAAAGTCTCCCCTAGCTGGGAGCTGGTAAAGATGAAATTTGAACGACTGGCTCCAGGGATCATCACTCTTCATTATTCTGTTCTCATCTTGGGTGGAAATGAGGTCAAGATCAGGGAACACTTTATGACCATCCTGAGTAGGAGCATTAAAAGGAAGATGATTATGCAGGCCCCAGTGCCCCACTTTCTGGCAGCATGATTCAAGCCTTCAGGCTGGTGAGGGAGGAAATGAAACACATTTTCTCCCTCACCAGAATGGGAAGAGGCGTTCTCAGTCTCCCAGGAAGGACTGCAGCCTCTGGAGGACATGGTGCCCCTACACGCCATCTCCTCCCACCAATCCACCTTCAATTCATTTGGGCCACCAAATCACACGTGCGTACTTGCAGCCCTGGGCAAGCCCTGGAGCCCAGCTCCCAAACAAACACAGGAAATTAAACAGTTTACACAGAATGAAAGTTGGCCTGTGGAAGGTGTCTGCAGCTGGCAGTTAACACCAGCAGTAAGAGGATCAACTCCAAGTCCACTGGCTTAAAAAGGGGGGTGGGGGAGAGAAGTGTGCGCGCTCCCTTTCACCCATTCACGTTGGTTAATTTGGATGATAAGGGTTCGTGTTTAATCCCTTTGTGTTCCAGTGAATATACTGAAATTGACAATGCCTAAGAGGGCACCGGAGGCTGGCAGAGCAACCTGTGGGAGGGTACGGGTTGTGTCCAATCTGGCGTGAATTACAAAAACGTCATGAGGAGACGGAAAGCAAGACGGAGAGGGACACCCTACAGGTGCGTGGAGCAGGCCAAGTCCCACACCTCCCAGGCTGGGGCAGGTGAGCTGTTCCCTTCTCCAGGGCCAGCACCCCAGGCACCCTCTGCGCCCTAGGAGCTCCCTAGGTCCCACCAGCAAGCAGGACTCCACCCTAGGCACCTCTGACAAGGACTAAGGACACCCAAAGCGAGAATGCAGGCCCTGCCATAGTCTAGCAGCGTCGACTACGGTAAGGTGCGGAGCAGAAAAGGAGGGGAAGATATTTAAGAAGAGATGTTGGTTCTCAGACTGAACAGATTAGAAAGAGGAAAGAGTTCAGTGGCTCTAGAGCAGGTCATAACACCAAAACCATTTTTATAGTTTCTATCTGTAAGAAAACTCACACGCCGCCCCCCCCTCAATTCTGGAGCACCCCCAGAGTGAAGATTTGGAGGCAGTAAATGTAAGCAAGCCCTGTCGGAGGGGGACGAGGCCCCGGGATGCTGGGCCAGGCTGCCCGCAGAGGCGCAGGCGGCGGAGAGTTCCCAGCCGCCGCCCCCCTCCTTCCCCTCGGGCCTGTCCAGCAAATTTCCTCCCTCGTTTCTGTTCGTGCCTTTCCTCCCTCCTCCTCCCCCGATATATTCGCTCTCTAAAACCATAAAAAAGAGATCAACTTCCCTAACTTCACGGAACCCTTTTCAGTGACAAATATTGATGCCCAAAGTGTCTGCGCTCTCCCGCCCCCAAACGTTAAGAAAAGGCGCCCGCGAAAGGGGGACATAAAAAGTTAACAATGCTGTGAAAATATGTTTGCAGAAAATAGACAATCGTTGGATTAAACGTATTCAAGTATGAAATAATGCCTTTTTGTGTCAAAACTTGGGCGATGGGCGGCTACAAAAGTTCCCTGTGGCAGCTACTTGCTCCCTTTGTGAGCCGTGCGCCTTGGCGTCTCCACTTGGGCGCATTACTCAGAGCCCTCTAAGCGCAATTGTTTCTCCCTTTCTAATGACATTTACCGGATCAAAACATGCTGTTAATTCGATCAGAAGGCTTCACCCTCCCTGACAAAGCCACAATAATTTCTCCTGAAGTTTGTTAAATTGACCAAAATTAGGCAAATGAATAGGGGTCTGTAGGCGCCCCCTCTCGCAGGTGACGTTGCATAATGCTCGCCTGGGCCAGCTGCATTCCCCCCTTTCTTCTCGGCCCACTCTTCTCCGTGTTGCCCCCCAACCCTCCCACCATCCCCCCCCTCACTCACTCACAAACACGCCTGCCTGCCGCTCCTCCCCCACCCTCTGGCATTATTAAAATTTAGCCCATGAAACTATTCATATTTTTCAATGGACATTTTCGTATAGGATAATAGGCTACAAATTGAGCCTCTTCCCCCCTCGAAGAGAGAGCCCGAGGGGGGAGAAAAGAAAGCAAGCGAGTTGGTCAGGGAGTATGGGGGAGCGTCGCGTGCCAAAGACCGGCGGGAGGGGCGAGGCAGGAGGGAGGCTCGTGTGCCAGCCGCAGCCCCACACCTGCCGGGATGTCCGGACAAATAAAGCGGTGTAAACAAAAAGGGGGGAGATGGACGTGTCACCAAGTCGTGTGAGAAAAGCCTGGGAACAAACGGGGCGCCTCCGTCTCCAAGAGCTCTCCCTTGAACCCGGCGGAACAGCCTATTAAAGGCTTACTTAATTACTTTAATGACTCTGGACAGGCTTTAAAACGCACTCGGCGCTGGGACTGCGAGCTTGCTGGGATTTGTAAACAGGGAATCGTGTGAGACTCAGCGGTGGGACTAAAGGAGGCGACACTGTTTTGTGAGGGTCCTCGCCCCCCGGTGCCCGAGGCCGCTGCGCCCCTGCGCTCCGCGCCTGCGGCTGAGGCAAGCGCTCGCTTGCCCGCTGGCCCCAGTTTACAGCCTCCTTTTCCTGCCTCGGCTGTTGCCATGCAAATGTTATTCCCCGCCGATCACGTGTCCTTTGCAGGGCCACGTGGATTAACAAAGCTGATCTGCCCCCAGCTCGCCCCCCTTGACTGCTAATTTTTTTTTCTTAACTTCTTTAAAACTGATCTTGAATGCATACATCCCGCAAACGCAGCTCCCTTAATCCTATGGAATAATTCAATTCGTGAATGCACTTGGAGCTCTAGATGACCGCTTTATAAGGCAGCGCCCCTCGGAGCTGGGCGGCTGCATTCTACCTGGGACACTCGAGGAGGCACACGAGGTGGAGAGTGGACGGGTGCCTCGCGCCACCGCCTCTCCCGAGGGTGCGTTCTGATCAGGATGTCAGACAAACTCAAGGAACGCAAAGTGAGTCGGCTGAGCCCAGACAGCTCTTGCGCCCTGAAGGTGGGGGCGTCTGACTCCCCTGGTGGCCAACTGGCTGGGCTAATGGCAGGGACGTGGCCACTCGAGACTTCTCCTGTACAGGAATCCTGAGTAGTTTGGGAAGGAAATGAGAATAGAGAGAGGAGACGCCTCAACTGGGGAGGATCCCACGCCTGGTGGCCATCTCCCCACTGCCCTGGCGTTCAGCTTGGTGGTGTGGCCCAGCGGGTAATGAGGCGGTAAGGGGAGCGCACCAGTGCGGGCGCGAGAGGGCAGAGCTTGTTGGATCCAAGTGTGAAGGGGCAGGGACTCCTTCGGGGGCAAGTTCCTGGGCAGCATTGGTGGCTGGGAAGACGGCTGGCAGCTACCGCCGTGCCTCTGTCGACTCCCTGGGCAGAGGTATCCTAAACGTACAAACTTCTGTTCGCAGAGAACCCCCGTTTCCCACAAAGTGATAGAAAAGCGGAGGAGGGATCGGATTAACCGCTGTTTGAACGAGCTGGGCAAGACGGTGCCCATGGCCCTGGCGAAGCAGGTAACGTTGGCTTCAGAGAATAGGGTGCCAGGCGCTGGGGATTCTCTGCTGCCACTCTCAGCCTAGAAGCCAGGAGTCTGGGGACGGAGAGGACCTCACACGTGGGCCTCCTTCCCCTGGGGCTTGAGCGCTGAGTGAGCTCCAGGCGGCCGTCGCGCAGACCCACCGCAGCACCCTGCTCACTGGTCCTCTCCAGATGAAACTGTGCACCCAGCCTGCTAGGGTTGGCCTGCGCCCCGCTGGACTGTTGCGAGGATCCCTTCCTCCTTTTGCAGAGTTCCGGGAAGTTAGAGAAGGCGGAGATCCTCGAGATGACCGTTCAGTACCTGAGGGCCCTCCACTCTGCTGATTTTCCCCGGGGAAGGGAAAAAGGTGGGCGCGGGCTGCGCAAAGGGAAACCTGGGCAGGGGGCGTGCGCCACACGGAGACTGGGGTGGGAATGGTTGTGAAGGGGCGCGCGGGAGAGGTCTCCTCTTTGGATGCTGCCGGAGTCCTGCGAAAGCTAAGTGGGGCTGGAGGACAGGTTTCTGGGGATACTGGTTCCGTCACCTCCTCTCAGATGTGGAGGGGTAGGGTTAGCGTCTTAAGGACAAGGAGGTCGCTTGCTTGCGCTTTTCGCGTCTCCAGAGTGGGCAGAGAGGAAGGCGGACCTCAGATGGGAACTTGGGCCAGAAAGTGTGATGGGCGGTGCGTGGCACCCCCCTTGGGCTCTCGGTAGGGAAGGAGCCGCTCAGTTTTTGTGTGTGTGTGTGTGTGGTTTTTTTTACTTTCCACGATTTTTCTCGCCCCTCCACCAGAACTGCTAGCGGAATTTGCCAACTACTTCCACTACGGTTACCACGAGTGCATGAAGAACCTGGTGCACTACCTCACCACCGTGGAACGGATGGAGACCAAGGACACCAAGTACGCGCGCATCCTCGCCTTCTTGCAGTCCAAGGCCCGCTTGGGTGCCGAACCCTCCTTCCAGCCACTGGGGTCGCTCTCCGAGACGGATTTCTCCTATCAGCTGCACCCAGCGGGGCCAGAGTTCGCGGGCCACAGCCCGGGTGAGGCCTCCGTGTTCCCGCAGGGCGCGGCCCCCGGGCCCTTTCCCTGGCCTCCTGGCGCTGCTCGCAGCCCGGCGCTGCCCTACGTGCCCAGCGCGCCCGTGCCGCTGCCTAGCCCAGCGCAGCAGCACAGCCCCTTCCTAACGCCGGTGCAGGGGCTGGACCGGCATTACCTCAACCTGATCGGCCACGCCCACCCCAATACCCTCAATTTACACACCTCCCAGCACCCCACAGTGCTCTGAAGCCAACTGACCTGCCAGATTTCTCTGCGCTAGGGGCACTGCTTAGGAGAAATACTGTATATTGTACAGGTGTAAATATTGTGCTGACAAATAGTTGACTGGGGGAAGGCCAAGATCGAATTAGTTTTCTGCAGGATCTTCCCCTGGCAATAAATATTTTCTGGTAAAGACCCAAAGAGTTGAATTTCTTTGTTACCTTCTGCTCCTCCACAACCTCCTCCTCGGAGGTGCCGAGCGCGCGAGGCTGACAGGGGCCCAAGTGACGGCCCTCAGAGATTTGAGCTGGGGGGTGGGGGGAGGGGGAGGCTAAATGGAGGCGTCGCTTGGGGACAAGATTCGCGGCTTTCTTGCGGGCTCCAGACCCCTGCCCGCCTCGCGCGCAACTTGAGCAGCAACTGGGCATTTGTCTCGAAAAAGGGAGGACGCGAGGAACAGGGCCATTGGCTCTCAGAAAATGCAAATCGAAGGACCCGCCCCAAACTGGCTTTGGCGGACTTTCGCCAGCTCCGACCGCAGCACCCTTCCTAGACAAGGCCCCAGGACGCGCGCGCACCTTGCGCCCACTGGTCTGGAGCTCAGCGACACTCAGGTCAGCGGGATGCGTGAATAGGTTTACAGCCTTAACAGATCTCTGTAAAAAAATATGTAGAGGAAGTAACTTCTGAGTTACGACTTAAAAACAACATTCGACGAAGTTTTTATCTTTGGATGACAACTATTCGGCGCCGGAAGGTTCAGGGACGTTCGCATTGCCTTTTACGCACATATCAGCTCATCTTCAGGGGAGCTAGGCAACAGGGTGAGAGGCCAGCATTGATCAGGTGGGAGACGCCTCCTCCCAGGGATTGTTCCTTCTGCGGATCCCCACTATGGGGCCGCTGGCGCGGGGTGGGGACTCTGGGTTCTTGGTTCAGATTCTCTGGCCTGGCGAGCAAAAGGCTTCCCCGCTTTCCCTCTCCCTGGGGTGGAGAGGGTGGGGTGGATTTTAACCTTCTCACTCCGCCCAGAGCTTAGATAAGTTGCAGGTCTAGGGAAGACTTGGCTGCTATCTTTAGGTGATTTGGGGAGGTTTTCAGTTCCATTTGGATCTGTGTCTTATCCACAGTGATGCATTTAAAAAACATCAAACTAAAATCACGTTTTTCTAAGACCCAAACAGCAAAATGAGCCTAGCTCGTTTTCTGTAAAATGAACAAGGTACCTAACCAGCTAAAGTTGTGTTTGTGAGGATTTAAAATTTTTTTCCTTCATTTTTTTCTTTATTCTTGTCTTTTATTGTTCCGTTAGCTTTGATGTCCATTAAATAAATAATCCAAAATTATGTAGCAGAATTTCCTGTTTTCAGAGGCCATTTAGCTCAAACTGTCATGATTTGTCTTCTCCCAGATTAGCTGGAGGACAATAAATTAACATATTCCATTTCTGTGGACAGGGTTTAAGGGAGCTCTGACCTAGACTGTTTACTAAGGTCATAGAATAGGATGACCTGCAATTTGTAAACCATCAAACTTGATTATACAGAGACAGGACAAAACACTTCATTACACGTCCATAATTTGAAATTTAAATGCGTATGTTTTGGGGAGCAGAGGGAATCTCTAAACTTTAGAAAAGGTCCTGTAAGTAAGGGATTTTTGCCCTTACATGCACTACACGTCACAACAATACTTATCTAAAAAAATGTGAGATGCAAATAAATATCTCCTCCCTTATGAGCTCTATAGTTGGAGCATGAAAGTGAGCGTAAGGCCAAGAGGTCTTCTGCTTAGCAAATATACACTGAGCGATATGGGATGAAAACAAATTATGCAGAGATGGGAGCATGCATGATGCCTATTATTGGAACACATGTCTTACACCCATTTTCATCGGGGCTGGATACAGAATATGAGGAAGGCCTTTCAGGCTTTTTTCCCTCTGAGCATTAAGCCTATCTGAATTCCCTTTGGCAGTGAAGCATTGAAGATATAGTGTTACCCTGGAAATATAAATTATTAATATATTCAGCATTTCGATCACTTCTCAACTGTTAACCAAATTAGACAAAACTTTCTTTTGCTAAGTAGATTTTCTCTTTGGGATTAGCTTTAGGACTGCACAGGGCCACCACAGTAAAAACGTGGCTCATTTACATATAATTTTGCGAACTTCCACTGGCCCATGACAGTCTTTGTACCTCAAATGTTGGTATTCTTGATTTTTTTTTTGTTCTCATTTAACTGTGGAGGATAAAACCCTGCTTTGGATTTACAATGACTTTAGGATAAAAGTTTCCCTCCCCTTTCTCTCTCTCTCTCTCTCTCTCTCCCCCCACCCCCCCATCTTTTTCTGAAACCTTCATCCAAAGTGTCAATCCTTCAGGCTTGGCCAAAAGTCGAACTTGGAATAGTTTGATTTTGCAAAAGATTAAAAATGTCACTACAAAATGGAATTGATTCAAATCAGGCTGTGACTTGAACATGTTCTTCCTGCACTTTCTCTGATAACACATTACTTCCAGCCTCCCTGTCCCCAAACCCCTAGCTCCTCCTCCCTGTGTCTGAGTCTCTTATGCCCAATCCCTCCACTCTTTCTTTTAAATAAGTTGTATAGTAATGGTTTCCAAGAAAGGCTCAACCAGACCCAGAAGTAACAAAAAAACAAAAAACAGTGGGTTTGGCTGGAGGTGACCCATTGTGATGCCTCTGAAAGGGGCAATCTCTTGTTTCTTGGGCTTCATCCTTGAGTGGGCAAGAATAAAAATAATCATCCCCATGAAATCAAAGGTTTTCTCCAGAGGCTTGAGGAACAAAGCTGATGACTGGTGCTTTGGGTCTGTCCGGGAGGCTCTGCAGGGCTAGAACTAGGCGCTTCCAGGCACTCTAGCCACCCCTGCCGAAAGGGCGGTAATACAGAGCTCACTTGTGCTTCCAAGCGTTATTGAACAAACACAGCCCCGTGTATCACTGGGGGCCCTCCAGTCTAGGCTGCTGGATACCAGGCAAGGAAGGTGGAGGAGCAGCTGTGTAAGTGCCTAACTGACCCCACAGAAGTATGGAACTGTTAGGACCTGGCAATGGGTGCCTGCACAAAGTGACACACCAAGAGGAAGGCAGTATGGGGCACGTAGTAGAAGCCCAATAAATACCGGGGGTGCCAAAAAATGTATACAAGTGGACACTTTGGTCAACGTTGCTCAAGCAGTAGTTTACCATAATAAAAAATGTCTGGACACTGATGGAAACCACTTTGAGCACCTCTTGTAATTGCAGATGTCAAACGTGACTTGTATTCATCTTTTGTTATTGGTATATATTATTACAATTTTAATAGTTTTCCTTTCTTAAAATGTGTATACATTTTTTCAGCACCCTCTGTATGTGTATTTGCGGAATGACTGAATGAACTGCCTAACAGTGCTGAGTCTCTGAGAATTTTGCATCTCCCCTGGACTCCTTGTTTCTAGCCCTCAGTCCCCTCCCTGCTTCAGCAGAGACCAGAAAGTAGTTGTACACCCAGCCAGACATTTGTTGAGTGATCTACCCATTCTGAGGTGTTGTCAAATGGAGCAATAACCTTGCCTTTCCCTTAAATGTCTACCTTGCTGTCTGATAGCAGGAGATAGTGCTTGGCCTGCATGGTTAAGGCAGTTACATGCAGGCCCAGCTAAATGCAGACCCAAAATTCAGGATTTGAATTTAGAACCAGCTCTGTCCTTTCACACGGGAAAGATCCAAGATTGGGCTGATTCCACCCTCTTTCCAGCTCCATTAGTTGCTCAGAGTGTGGCTTCTTGAGACAGACTACCTGGATTGGCATTCCAGCTCTGCTGTGTACTAGCTATGTGCCATTGGGCAAACTGCTAAGCCTCTCCATGTCTGTTTCATCATTTATAGAACAGAGATATAAAAAGTACATATACTTGATAGGGTTGCCATGAGGATTAAGTGGATTGGTACATTCAAAGCACTCTAGACAGTGCCTGATCCATAGTGAACATTCAATAAATATTAGCTATTATAATTATCAATCCCTCCCTCCCTTCTCCCGGAGAGTCAGATCCTTGGGGTCACCTCAAACTAAAAAACAAAACGTGAAGGCAAAGCATGAAAAAAATTTTAAACCTCGGGGATGGTTCTTAAACCCCAAGTCTTGTTCTGGAACAGGGCAATACTCTTTATTTAGGGCAAGTGGGGACAGGGAGCTCTTATTCCATCCCATGGTCAATTTGGGGGCTGTGAACCCTACTCCAGGTTATGACGGGCAGGCAGAGCCCCTCTAATAACTTTGGAGTGCTATCTCTCCACTCTTTCATATACAGAAATTGGCCTCATGCTATTTTGCAACAGCTTGTACTCCTGCATTCCCACATTCTCTCCACTTAGACATTCTAATGCCCATTAACATACAAACCTGTGCTGTTGCAAATTCTTTTTTGAAAGATGGGGTAGATAATTCCATATTCCTTAACTATACTTTCTATGGCAGCTTTACGCTCTCCTCAGCATTTTCCCCCATTTCCCCGCCATTCAGTTTTTTTTTATTAGTTTCAGGTGTACAGAACAATGCAATAGTTATCCTTTTCACCCCTCAAAAGAAACAACCCCCTGCCCCCATCCACTACCCTCCCACCCCCGATATCATGCTTGCCTATTGCTATTCCATTGACTCCATTCCCACACTCTACTTTACATCCCGTGACTATATGTATATATAATTATATTTGACATACAATATTATTCAACCTCAGCTTCAGATATACAGTGCGGTGGTCAGGCCTCTACTCCATCTATGAAGTGGTCTCTCTAACAAGGCATGAGTCCATCTGGCCCCCTAAAAACTATTTACAACATTATTGATTATATTCCCCAGACTGTCTTTTCTATCCCTGAGGCCATATTATAGTTACCAATTTGTATTGTCTCATCCCTTCCCCTTTTCCTTCATCCCCACCCCCTCCCAACTAGTAACCTTCAGTTTTTCCTCTGTGTCTCTGAGACTATTCTGTTTACATTTCTCATTTATTCAGTTTTTTAGATTCCACATATAATTGAGATCATATGGTATTTGTCTTTCTCTGACTGACTTATTTCACTTAGCATAATGTTCTCTAGGTCCATCCATATTGTCGTAAGTGGTACGATTTTCTTCTTCTTTATAGCTG